CTCTCTCTTTCCTATCTTCGTCCCGTGCACAGTCGAGTCCTCCTCCGCACCGCCACCACCACCATCGCCACTACCACCATCAACACTGCCACCACTACTAGCACCAGCTTCAGCACCACCTCCTCCTCCTCCTCCTCCTCCTCCTCCTTCTCTTTCGTCTCCACCTCCATAGCGAGCATCCCGAACGAACCACCCGAAGGGTTTCCAAGGGTGGTGGTGGGCGTGCTACGGAACTATAAATTTTATCGTTAAGTTGTTTAGACCCATGGTCCGCAAACGTTCGTTCACTCTACCCTCTCAACCCCTCGTAGTCCTTCTTTCGATCTCACAGACTCGCTTTCCGCCAATTTCTCTTTGTTTCGTCCTCTTACTCTATACCTTCCTCCTAACTCCTCCCTCTCTCTCACCGATTCCATCCCCCTTCTGTCTTATCGGCATACCGGATACGCGTAGGAAGAGAGAGATAGAGAAAGAGAAAGAGAAAGAGAAAGAGAGAGAGAGAGAGAGAGAGTGTATGTGCAAGTGGAACGAAATCGTATCTTCCCCGTTAACGCCGTTCCACCGACAGGAAGTTCCTCAGTGGTTGTCGATGATCGAATTTCTTTTCGTAGCCAGACGGAAGTTCGATCGAAAGGGAAAGAGAGAGAAAGAGGGTGAAATTGTCCGCTTCTTTCGAAAGAATTCAAACCTATCCCCCGCGTTTCCCTCAATCCTCGTGTTTTCATTCGTACAAACTTGTAATCAGAATCTATCGCTCGCGTAACATACATATTTACCGCTTGTATCTCGTACTTTTTTTTTCTCTTTCTCTTTTTCTGTTTTTATTCTTCTTTTTTTTTTGTTCTTAACTTTATTTCTACGTTATTTTCGTTTCCATTTTTTCGTTACTTTTTATTTTCTTTTTTCTCTTTTCTTTCTCTTTTCCTCTCTCGTTTACAAGTAATATCAGGGGACCTCGAACACCATGTCGGATAACGAGTCATCTCTCTTGTTTTACACATACGTGTATGTGTGCGAGAGAGAAAGAGAGAGAGAGAGAGAGAGAGAGAGAGAGAGAAAGAGAGAGAAAGATCTTCCGTCTGCTTCAGGGAATTCGCTTGATAAAAATGTTAAAATAAATAAAAAGGAGAAAGAGGAGTTACGCGTAGAGAAAGAGGAAAGAGAGAGAGAGAGAGAGAGAGAGAGAGAGAGAGAGAGAGAGAGAGAGAGAGAGAGAGAGACAGAGAGAGAGAGAAAGAGCGCGAACATGAACGCGAACGCGAGAGAGAGAGAGAGAGAAAGAGAGAGAAATGACTCGTGGTATAGAAAAGAAGGGATTCGATTCCTCGAAAAACTGTACGTTTTTCTCGCCGATAGAATGGCCGGGACGTCACCTGAATACATTATGTGTTTTCCACCCCTGGGGCTAGGATATTGAAATTTTTAATATCGAGGGGTGGCGAGTAAGCGGGAGAGCGGCGTGTGTTGGGGGTAGATAGGTAGGTAGTAGGGTGGTAGGTGGTAGGTGGTGGTGGTGGTGGTGGTGCTGATGGTGGTGGTGGTGGAGGTGGTGGTGGTGGCGGTGGTGGTGGTGGTTCTCGTCGTGCGGACGAGGACGGATGGATGGAGAGCAACGGAACGTCTATGGCTTCGCGAAGCATCCCTCGTGTAAAGACACCCTCCCACAGCGATCCCTTATTTTGCCGTCGATATACTCTCTCTCTCTCTCTCTCTCTCTTTTTCTCTCTTACACACACATATATATAAATGTGCGTACGTATATGTTGGTATATATATATATATATACACACATACATCTTGCTGTGTATTGTACACGAGCATACAGTAGAAAATCTATCGGCGTGCACGACTTCGCGTAATGCGCGCTCTTTTTTACATAATATCGACGATGATGTATACATCGTCTCAACTTCGAAGCTAACCGAGCGATAACGTATTGTTGGAGATCGAACGAGACGACAAGAAAGAGCCTTTTTTTTTTTCCTCGATAAGATTCGAAAATATTTACTTCGGCCATCTAGTATTGTACGACGAAAAGAAATTTCTAAAATAGGGACTTTTGATGTTACGCTTTTAATGAAGTCGTCGAAAATTCGATACTTTAAGGGAAAAAGAAAAGAAAAGAAAGAGAGAGAGAGAGAGAGAGAGAGAGAGAGAGAGAGAGAGAGAGAGAGAGAGAGAGAGAGATAGAGACAGAGGAAAAGAGAGTGACTTTAACGTGATTGGTGAGTTGAGAGAGCAACGGTATAACTCGAATCTCTTTGAAAATGGCGTGCAAGTGATAGCCATTCGTATATATATATATATATATATATATATATATATATATATATATATATACACAATAGTTTCGATCCGGTACAAGATCGTTGAAAAGTTCTACCACGACCCATATTTCATTGGTGAAAAAAAGAGAGAGCGAGACAGAGAGAGAGAGAGAGAGAGAGAGAGAGAGAGAGAGAGAGAGAGAGAGAGAGAGAGAGAGAGGAAGTACCTACGATATGTTGATATATATACATATATATCTACCAACCACTCTCCGAAGGATACGAACCACTCTCCGAACGTGTCCCGATAATTTGGACTTCTTTGACCAGTAGGATGAGCCAGTCCCGTTTTTTCGTTTGCCTATAAAAGGATGGGCGCGTGCTGGTGTCCCCTTTTGCGCCAAATTTCAGGGCATGACCGGTGTGCCCTAGTTGGGTCATCCGTTGACCTTGGGCGTGCGGCCCGGCCCTAACCTCTTCGGTGGTCAAAACAGGCGGAAACATGGCCTGACCCTCGTATATCATATAAACTGTCCACGAAACTTTTCGCCATATATCTATTTTTTTCGTCTTTTTGCATTGAGTAACAAACTGGTCACGCTTATGCTTCATTAAAATTAAATTTTATGCTTCCCTTTTATTATTTCCTTGTTTTCTCTTTTACATTTTCTCTTTCCTTTCTTTTCTTTTCTTTTTTCTTTTTTTTTTTTTTTCACATCCAACTTTGTTCAATCAACGATCTCACATGGGAAAGCGAATTAATTCTATTGATTTTAAATGGAAAATATCACAAATAATTATCGCAATTACATATCTGCGATCTTATTATCAGATAATAATTTACGTTCAGTTTCATTTATCTCGATAATGGTTCTTTTCACGTTAATTTTAAAATAATTAAAATACGCGATATTAGAACGAAGATAAAGAGAAAAAGAGAAAAAGAAAAACTCTTGAACGGTCCGTACCATTGATCCATTACTACTTATTGCTACTCATTTATAAATATCCACAGTGAAAAGTGAATGTCCGTTCGGAAGATAAAGATAATATCTAATATAATTCTTTCTACGTTTACAAATTATCAAATTTATCGGAGAATCCTTTGTTAATATAATTACGCTTATCTCCTACGTATAATGCAATTCGTAAAATCATAAGCAAAGAAAAAAAAAAAAAAGAGAGAGAGAGAGAGAGAGAAGAAGAAAAAGAAACAAAAACAAAAGTAATGATTTCGAGCTAATGATAAAAAGTTCAATCAATTACACGGCAATATCAATTTGTTAACGTTGTTATAATCAATAATTAATTAATTATCATAAATCATGAGATTTGTATTAAATCGATTAAAAATCATATCATAGAACGATAGAAAGTGATCGTCGTAAGTCTTATTCCTTAAATGTTACCTATCCAAACGTATGTTATTCCACGAGAGGAAGTAGATTATTTCATTCGTAAGCCACGACCTCGGTATGCCCGTCCTCTTGGTAAAAGGAAAGAGGAGTGAGAGAGGAGGATACGAAACGTTGGTCGGGCTGGCTCGTGGTGGTGTGTGCTCGTTACAGCGCCTCCACTCTGCGAGATTCAATATTCTAACCAAAATCCCCGGGGCTACGTGGCGGCGAGAGGGAGGGAGGGGGAGAGGGTTGGGGGTTAGGAGAGTTGGGGGATGGTATGGCGGTGGAAAGAGGAAGGGGGGATTGAGTCGAGGGTGTAGGTCGGGTAGAGAGGGAGCTTGGGCAGAACTTTCCAGGCGTGCAGCCACTGCAAGACGTGCCACGAACGATGCTCCACGTCCGGGAACGAGCACATCTATGATGGTCCAAATTTTCTCCGTCGTCGTCGTCGTCGTCGTCGTCGTCGTCGTCGTCGTCGTCTATCTCTATCTCTTTCATTCTCGTGTGCCGTCGACATTCTCGACGACGACGACGACTACGGTAAACTCACAGTCCATATACGATTTCTCTCTCTTTCTCTCTCTCTCTCTCTCTATCTATAACTATTTATCTGTCTATCTATATATATATATGTATCTATCTATCCATCTATCTATCTCTCTCTCTCTATCTCTTACACTTACTAAGCCATACGAGTTTCTTGACGGACCTGACGTTACCTCCTTGCGTACAGTTACCGCCAAGAATCTGGCTCTCGCACTTTTGGAATCCCTAAAATTTTACCTTGTAAATCTTCCTTGGAAAGGCTCGCGAAAGTTTTACGACGTAAAGGTGAGGAAGGGGGAAAACTCTTGGAAATCTTTAGCGTGCCGATGAGAACTACTCGTGTAAGTTATAGTAAAGTGTGACGGCATTGCTGTTAGTGGTGGTAGTAGAAATAATAATGTTAGATAGTAGTAGTAGTAGTTATGGTAGTAGTAGTTGGATCAAGTAATCGACGGATCGAATCTACTCGCCGAGAATGAGAAAATCTTTCTTTTTTTTCCTTTTCTCTCTCTCTCTCTCTCTCTCTCTCTCTCTCTCTCTCTCTTTTTCTTCGAGAACGGCAAGCGTTTTATGAGAGTTTCCAAAAGAAAAAGACGACGTCTCTCGCGAGACACGTTGACTTTAAGAAATCTAAAGCCGATATAAATCTTCGATATCGAGATACTATGCGCGATAGCTATATATATATATATATATATATATATATATATATATATATAAATATATATATATATATATAAATATATATATATATATATATATGTATATATAAATGTATATACATCTAGCAATGTGATTCTTGTGTGAGTCATAGAAAAATGCTTTAATACATATTGAAAAGTTATAGGCAACGCGTATAAATGTCCGAATGCGCGACGAAGACAAGACGTACAGGTGTGCAATAGGGAGACAGAGAAAGAGAAAGAGAGAAAGAGAGAGAGAGAGAGAGAGAGAAAGAGAGAGAAGGGGATGTAAACGAAGAAGAAGTAGAAGAAAGAAGGAAAGAAATCTAAAAGGGAGAAAGGAGAGACATTTTCAGATTTTTCTCAGTGTCACCGAGGAAATCGAGCTTACGCGAAAGGACGATAAATGTCTCCTTTTCTCTCGATTCGAGTTACACCCTACACACACACACACACACACACACATTCTATCTCTCTTTCTCTTTCTATCTATCTATCTATCTCTTTCTCGTTCTATATTCTAAATCCGGAAAAATATACGCGTATGAGCGATCCCGAAATCACAGCCGGGGGCCGACCAATCGAAATCGTTGGCTTTATCGTTGAAAATAAGGGTGACTAGGTGGTTTCTTGTAGGGCCCACGAATGGAAAAGGAAACTAGTGGGAGGAGTGATGTTAATCTCTCTTTCTCTCTCTTTCTCTCTCTCTATCTATCTCTTTATATATCTTTATCTCTCTCGGTCTTTAATACCTACTGTACACTCGAGTAGAAAGAGATGAACGTATAGGACGTCCTCTCCTGTACAGAAGGAAAGGCCTCGGGCTATGGCTTCTCGTCTTATCCTCTAACACACTCCCTTCTCAACCTCTCCTCGTCATCCTTCTCCTTTTCCTCCTCCTCCTCCTCCACCTCCTTCTCTTCTTCTTCTTGCTCCTCCTCTCTTTCTCTTCCCGTTACCATCTCTTCCTGGCACTCCCTTTCCGCGTGTCTCTTTACGCGCGTGCATGCCACGACGATACGAGAATGGCGAACTGCAAAGCTGCTTCTACTACTATCGCACAGGAGAGCCATGTTTCTTCGTTACACACGACGGAACTTCAACGAGCTCCATCGTCTTCTTCTCTTGAAGAAACAACGATGGCGTACATATTCGATCTTCTTATTTCTTCGAAAACTATACCGAGGAGGGCGTTGTTAAGTGGGTGGTTTGGTGGATGGATGGTTGGGATCGCGTCTCCTTCGAAACGTTTTATAATATAGGTTTTTAAAAAGAAATAAAAAAAAAAAAAAAAAAAAAAAAAAAAGAAAAAAAACGAATGATTATCGAATCTCTTTTAATCTATATTTCGCAAGGATAAAGATAATATAAAAAATGGGAAAAAGAAAAAGACGAAAGTAAGAAAGTACGAAAGAAGAAAAAAATGAATGGATGACGTACATAGAGATTTCGAAATTATTCTCTTCGAATTTGTCAAATAAAATAATAAATCGAAATGAAAATGATTTTATTTCGATCGACATGTAAACGTCAACGTTACACTTTTCGTCATCCATAGATGAGAAACGACAGACAGAGAGAAAGAGAGGGTAGTAGAAGAGGGTAGAACACCGTTGTCCCGGATTTAGAGTTTAACGCGGCTCTAATGAGGTATGCCACGCATATATATATATATATATATATATATATATATGTATACCCGTTCAGGTAGCAAACGAATTTTTTAATGGGACGCCGTGTGCTCTGCTTTTTCTATCCCCCTTCAGGAATTTTCTCTATCCATTTCTCTCTCCTTCTCTTATGCTTTCCGTACGCAACCCTTTTTACATTGGTAGTTACCTGAGAATCCTAGGTAGGCAGATACCTACTCGAGATCCCTTGGGGGTTAGACACTATCGAAAAGTGTCCGTGTAGAGAGAAAAAGAGAGAGAAAGAGAGAAAGAGAGAGAGAGAGAGAAAGCAAAATTGAAATTCAAATGAGACCGCGAGGATATTCTAATTCCTGGTAGCAACCCCTTTTTTGCATATCGGGACCCACGCAGCTGCCGGCAGGGTCCCAAATTATATACATCTTTTCTTTTCTTTCTTCCTCTCTCTCTCTCTTTCTCTCTCTCTATTCTTTTGATTTTATTTTCTCTCTCTCTCTGTTTTTCTCTCTTTCTATCTCAGTGTTTTCCTTTCTTCGATAGCATGAACGTTGTCGAACGATCGTTGGTACAGTTTGACACGTTCCTCGTGCGTGATCTGCAACAATCGAAAATCGACAGTATTCAAATCCAGTGACGTATCTGTCTACCTAAGCTCAGTGCCTACCGATTTGATATCGTCTTCGTTCGGATTTTATCGAAACGTTCACGTTGTAGAAATACGAGGGAAAAGTTACGAACGAGTTTGCCTTTCGGATATCTTGAAATTTAAATACGGCTTATTGGTTGGAACCTTAACGAAAGATATAGTACACATGTATATATATATACACACACACACACACATATATATATGTATGTATGTATGTATGTATGTACATACATATATAAATCCGTGATTGATATTGACCCGAGTTATATACTTTATGTATGTACGTACATACGTATCTAATTTAAAATCCGAATGACGAAAATAAAAATACAATTCTGACACATATTTTATTTATTTATTTATTTATTTTTCTTTTTTTAATGTTTATCTAGGAACACCGAAAACTACGTCGACTGAATTGACAAATGAATTAAGAAAAACGGAAAAGAAATAAAAGAGAAAGAGAGAAAAAAACAAGAAGAAGAAAGAAAAAAAAAATGAAGGAACTAATCGTCATAATTTTCGTTCGTTCCATTGATAAAACTCAACCAATAATAAATTCGAAGTTCATTTTTTTTTTTTTGGTGGGTTCGGTAAAAGAGCATCAAGAATAATTTTGTTTCAATAATGTTGGAATCCTTAATGCTCGATGGCGTCGCCATCAAGAGTCGGCAATTTGACTGGTCGAACCGTGTACGTGCTTAAGAGTTGCACATAGAAAGAAAAAGAAAAGAAACAGAAGAAGAAAAAGAAGAAGAAGAAGAAGAAGAAGAAGAGGAAAAGAGGAAGAGGAAAAGGAAGAAAAGATAAGGAAAAGGAAAGAAGAAAGAAAATGAAGGAAAACACGGAAACGGTTTGATAGTGGTGGTGATAGTGATGGTGATGGTAGTGGTGTAGTTTTAGTGGTAGTGGTGATGCTACTGCCAGCGCGCTTCTGCTTTGCATAATCAAATCCTACGACAATGTGGGAGAATGCGAAGTACAGAAGAGAGAGTCCTCCCCTCTCAAACCTCTCCACTATCCCTCCTATCCTCCGCCCATCTCTTCTCACCCCGTTCTGTCTTCAGAGAGGGTAAATCCTCTGAGCACGCGAGGACTTCGAAAAATGCACTTTCAACTTTTCCCCATACCTTAGGGAAGATGGACCAACCGTTTGGTCATGATGTTCGAGGGGTTTGCAAATGGTACGATAGTATTTACTGACTTATCAACCCCCTAGTAAAATTCCAGGAATAAATTCGAAACACCAAAGGAAAATTTTCACACCGACGAGATAACGCCTGACTGATCGTACATATTTCTTTCTAATTTGAACACTTTTATTTGGTTTTATTTATATTGATTTTGGAATAATTTATAATGTCCTTTTTTTTTTATTTTTTCTATATCGTTACTTTTAAATGACTCCCATTATTTAGTTTCTCGTTATCTATCGTGTTATTATATTTTTTTTTTTTTTTTTGTAATTATAATTCATTTATTATATTCTTAACGAAATATAAAAGCAAAATGTTAAATAGTAAAGAATTATAATTATCTACGATAATGATTTAAATATCTATCGGTTTTTCTTTTATTTTTTTGTTTTCAGATCGTTGATAATCATTACCTTGTAAAACGTTAAAAAAAGAAATCAGAAAATTAAAAGGCGATATGGCATCAACTTATATCACATAAATGGAATACACAAGCTTCGACGGAATGGATTTATTCGAAGCATCAAACTCTATGGTGATTCTCTATCGGCGATTAAATCTCCTTTTGTTCCGCGGGTCGGATTATTCTAATTTCTCTGAATCGTAAACGATACCAATTATAACGAGATAGTCTCTCTTTCTCTTAAAAAAAGAAAAAAAAAAAAAGAAAGAGGGCGACTCATTTCGGTCAATATTTTTCTTTTTTTTTTTCCTTACATAAACATCCAACAAATAATTATTTACATTCGAACGATGCCAAAAACAAAATAAAATAAAATCTATTAAAGGACATTGATAATTAAAAATTTCATTAAAAATCGCGTTTTTTTTTCTCCTACATTATTTTTCGAATATTACGCTTGACTCGTCGATATGATTGAAAAAGAGAGAAATGAAAAAAAAAAAAAAAGAAAAGAAAAAGGAAAGAAGAGAAAAGAAAAAGTTAGTCAAAGGGAATGAAGGAAAATATCCTGCGACATTTGGCAAGCCAATGTGAAGAAAAAAGAGAAAGATAAAAGAAAAAAAAAAGAAAAGAAAAGAAAAGAAAAGAAGGAAAAAGAAGAAAAAAAAGATAACGTGCCTTCGCTTAAGGATGGAGGGTGAAAAAAAAAAAAAAGAAAAATAGAAGAAAAAGAAGAAGAAGAAGAAGTAGAAGAAGAGAAAGAGATGGAAGAGGTGGTAGAAGAAGAAAGCGTCGGAAAGTTTGACGAAAGGGAAGGAGAGATGGCACGCACTCCCTCGTCAAAATGGACGGGCTAAGCTCGTATAAGTCTAACGGGATTTTCGATCGTGGGTGGTGGAATATATATATATATACATATATACATATATATATATATATGCATTTGCATGTGTATGTCTGTGTGTAGGCCACAGCCAATGCGAATAAGAGAGAAAGAGAGAGAGGAAGAGTAGGTGGGACTCCCTCAAGATGGCGGCTGTAAGGGATGGTTTAGGGCGCATGAGGGTTGCGGGTGAAGCAATATATCAGTAGAAGACCCTTCTCTCGAGGGTAACTTCAACCCCGACCGATGGTGGCCGTTACCATCTCTTTCTCTCTCTCTCTCTCTCTCTTCGTCTTTCACCCTATGTAGCCTCCACCATCTTCTTCTTCTTCTTCTTCATCTTCTTCTTCTTCTTCCTTCTTCTTTTTCATCCATCCATCCATCCATCCATCCATTCGTTCATTCTTTCTCATCTTAAGATACGTCTCAAAGATGCTTACCCTCGATCAGTACCACCCTCAAGAAAAAGTGAGAAAGAGAAAGATAGATAGAGATAAAGAGATAGAGATAGATAGATGAGAAAGAGAGAGAGAGAGAGAGAAAGAGAGAAAGAGAGCCCAGGGGTCCGTTCACGAAAGTATAAACGTCACCGAAGACTGATGGAAATGGACGAGACGTTCGAGGGAGGAGCGGACGATCGGGAAATGGTGGAAAATCGAATGGAGGGCGAAACGAGAAAACAGGACGGACTCGAGGGGTGCATTTCTCTTTCTCCCTTCCCTTTCTTTCTCTCTCTCTCTCTCTTTTTCTCTTTCTCTCTTTTTCTTTCTTCTTTGAGCTAAAAGCTTCGTTCATCGGACTTCTCTCTTTCTGTCTCTCTCTGTCTCTCTCTCTCTCTCTCTCTCTTTCTTATTTTCCATTCCGTTCTTTTGTCACGATGATGTCGAATCGATGGAGCAACCCAGAGATATCCTATCGGAAGTGACTGGAAAAGGGAGTCCCTATGAGTCCCTCAGAGACGACGAGTTTGACCCGGGGCTTGAGAAATTTATTATAAATTTTTCTGATTGGTTAGATCAATAACACATTAGATATATTTATTTTCTTCATCACTGTCGATATACTATTTGATGTTATTATTCTGCGAATATTAACGATAGCAAATCGTTTCTTCGAGAATAATAATAATAATAATAATAATAATAATAATAATAATAATAATAATAATAATAATAATAATAATAGTAATAATAATAAAAATAATAATGAAAAAGAAAAAGTAAAAGAAAAATAAATGATCATGAAGAAGGGTTATTACGCGACCTACGTAGAAACTCACACGGTTTTGCGGACGAAACTCTTGGTTATGAATTTCTCGACCTTCGTATGCTTGTTCATATAATAACTTCAAAATAGAAGGGGAAAGGAAGGAAAGAAAAAGAGAAAAAAGAAAGAAAGAAAGAAATAAAGAAAAAAAAAAGAAAAGATACGAAAAATCCGCCATCCTACGAAATTCTCCTCTAATCACATTTTGTCTCACTCTTTCTCTCTCTCTCTCTCTCTCTCTCTCTATATATATATATATATATATATATATATATATATATATATATATATATATCTCGACGGAAGAGTCGTTGCATGTCGAAATAGAGGAAAGCAAGAGCGTCGAGATAAAAGGAAAAAAAGGAAAAGAAGAAAAAAAAAAAAAGAAAGAAAAAGAAAAATGACGAGAGGGAAGAAATTCGTAAGAGCGAGGACAATACCGAAGGCTCGCGTTAATCGACGCTTGCGGAACGAGACGAAAAAAGAGAACGAGAGAACAAGAAAACGAGTAAACGACAGAGAAAGAAAGAGAGAGAGAGAAAGAGAGAGAGAGAGAGAGGAGAACAAAAAAGCATACGTTGGGTCGAGGTAAATCGTGCTTCTCGATGAGGAAAAAGAAAATTTCGAAAGTAAAAGAAGAAGAAGAAGAAGTAGAAGAAGAAGAAACGAAAACCGTTCACGGAAATCCAGAGTTGAACGAAATCGCAGAGCTTTTCAATTGCGATTTCCTCTGGCACACTCGAGAAATTCAACCTCTCTCTCTCTCTCTCTCTTTCCCTCTCCCTTTCTCTCTTTTTCTTTCTGTCTCTCTCTCTCTCTCTCTCTCTCTCTCTCTCTCTCTCTCTCTCACTTATTCTCCCCTTTCTCTCTTCCTTTTCACCCCAAGGTTTCTTGCAAAGATCAGCGAAGGTAGGTGGGTTTGCTTGCAGGATCAAGAATAACACTATTCGAAAAGCTTTTTCTACGTTTTTAAAATGCACGTTCGTACCAAACCGATGCGTAACTCGGTAGAACGTAGTAGATGCGGGAAAAATTGTTGAAGGGAAAAATTTTCGAGGCGTAAAAGAAAAACTGCTGCTAGTCGATCATATATATATTTATATATATATATATATATATATATATATATATATATATATATCATTTTCTCTCTCTTTCTCTCTGTCTTTTCTCTGGTAAGGTGCAAAGAAATACAGAT